TAAGACTGAAAATAAACTCCTCTCAGGGCACCTGGGTGGCTCAGTCTGTTGAGCATCTGACTTTGGCTCAGGTCATGATTTCAGGTTTGCGGGTTTGAGACCTGCATTGGGCTCACTGCTCTCAGTGCAGAGCCTGATTCAGATCCTCTGTTCCCTCTCTCTCTGCCCCTCCCACGTGCCGGGAGGCGCACCGGCCTCTCTGGATGGCAGTCACAGCAAGGAAATGGCAATGTTTGCACAGCTCCTGCCATGAAAAACAAAACTGGTATCTTCTTCTGCTACTACTGCCTCATGTTGGAAATAAGCCTGCTGGTATTGACCAGGCCTCACAATATTCCATACCAGACCCATGTTCTGAACACAGATACCTCATAAGGAAAAGCATATTCCTGCCTTTACAAAAGAGATTTTAGATAAAAGCTCTATGGATCATTGTCAAAAGGCTCTTTCTATAGGTTTTGTAGATCCAAGACTTAGATAATAAAGGGGAATAAGAAAACAAGAGTTACAATTGAGTCTGGTCCCATGTCAGAAGAACCTAAATTATAGTTACTTACTAACTGGTGATGTATGGCAGTCCCTTCCTCAAGGCCTACACTCCACAAACATCCTCCCTTACACTGGCAGCTGGGAAGAGGACATATAAGAGTAATTAAAACATAAACCCAGATGCAATGACTGATACATATAGAGCCCCCTTTGGTAGTTTCCACAAACAAACCAATTCAGAAACATTCATCTTCTTGAGAGCCAGACAGAATAACTCCTAGCTTATCTATATACAACTTAACCTATATGTTATCCTGTTTTCCACTAAGAGCATCCTGTTATTTCTTTGGTCATAAATTCACTATGATTAGGATAATTCTGCAATTGTCATCGCAAAAGACCTTCCATTGTAAAAGAATTCCTTTTTCTGACCTCATATTGTTTTTGAAACTTTAAATAAAGTCACCAAAACCAACAGGACAGAGATGCCTGCCTGGTGATCAGAAAGAATCTCGGGGCTCTCTCACTCTCTCACTCACCGACACCGTCCATCCTTCAGGGACCCCTGGACCTGCTGGAGCTGGCTCGGCCTCCAGCACCCACGCTCACTCTCTCTCTTCCAAAAATAAATAAATATTTTTTTAAAAAACCCTCCTCCTGGGGCGCCTGGGTGGCTTAGTCGGTTAAGCGTCCGACTTTCGCTCAGGTCATGATCTCGCGGTTCGTGGGTTCGAGCCCCGCGTCGGGCTCTGTGCTGACTGCCAGCTCAGAGCCTGGAGCCTGTTTCAGTCTGTGACTCCCTCTCTCTCTGACCCTCCCCTGCTCACGCTGTCTCTCTCTCTCTCTCTCTCCTAGAAATAAATTAAAAAAAAATTTTTTTTTTAATTTTAAAAAAATAAAATAAAAAACCCTCCTCCTTTCATAGGGTATAAACCAGCTATGGAAAGATTTCAGAAATCGTCTGGCCAATGAATCTTTCTGCCCACCCTAGTTTAGTGCTGATGCTCTGTTCCCAGATTCTAGCAAAGAACCAGCTTCTGTGAATTATTCATTTACGACTATCAATGGATCATCAATGGCAACTTCTAGACAACCAACTTGTTCCACTTTGTTCCCCTCATTCGTTAATCAGTGCATTCCCAAAGATTACACATTTTGATTTTCAACCCAAGTTAAACATAATGAGGAACCCTATGACTGCCAAGTGCCACTTTAAGTCATTGCAAAGTTAGATATAAATGATTTGGGGGTTGTCTATTTCTTTAGATAATTCCTGCCAAGCTCCTTACAGAAAAATAAGTTGACCTCATCAGTAAATCATGTCATCCCCATTGACCCATTTTCTTTCCAATCTTGGTGATGAAACCCTTCTATCAGAAGAGCAGAGTTAAATTATCTATTCCTGAAGTAATTCTCCTTTGGACTTACCTATGGAAATTGCTGAGTGGGAAGGGTCCGTGAACTCAGAGACCAACCTTTGGTTCAGTGACTTTGGTAGCCTGACCAAAGCTATCCCCTGCCTTCCCACTCCTTTTTATGTAACCCTGGGCTATTAATGACCTCAAGCTGTGGGACCACTCCTCTAACCACTTTATCTGGCCTCCCAGATCTTCAGAGCTTTCAGGGATAAGGGACCTCTATACTCTCCTGCTCCCTGGCCTCCTCTGCCTCAAGGATTTCTATCTCCCAGGATGTTACCAAATCAGCAGGAGTTTCCCTGGTGTGACTTATTTTGCTTTAAGGCTACTTTTCTAATACATTCCTAATATGAAAGCAGCCTAAAATTAAAATGGACAAAACTTAATATTGGACTACAAAGGGATTTGGTGCAATTGAATTTCAGGCATTGTTTGGGTCTCCCTGGAGTTCAATCTGCTGTGCAGGGGCCTCCTGTCCATGGCTTTGGAGCAGTTTGATAATTTGAAACATTACTTAGCCATGATAGATCCCCGGTACAACCAGAATCCAACAGATTTCTCTCTCCCTCTCTTCCTTCCTTCCTTCTTTCCTTCCTTCCTTCCTTCCTTCCCTTCCCTTCCTTTCCTTTCCTTCCTTCTTTCCTTCCTTCTTTCCTCTTTCTCTTTCTCTCTTTCTTTCTAAATTATTTTGAAAGAGAGAGAGAGAGCATGAGTGGGGTAGAGGCAGAGAGAGAAGAAGAGAGAATTCTATACAACTTGATGCTTGAACTCACAAACTGTGAGATCATGACCTGAGCCAAGATCAAGAGTCAGACCCTAACCGACTGAGCCACCCAGGCACCCCACCTCCTTTTTAAAGTGAGCTCTATGCCCAGTGCAGTGCTTGAACTCATGACCCCGAAGTCCAGAGTTGTATATTCACTGACTAAGATAGCCAAGTGCCCCTAATAGATTGCTTAGTTAGCACTTCATCCAGTACCATTCTCCAAGTTGAATCAGTACCACTTACTAGCTATGTGACCTTAGACAAGTTATTTAACCTCACTGAGCCTCAGTTTCCTCAGATGTGAAATAGGGGCAATGATACTCCACAGTGTTAACATGAACTTTAAATGAGCTATGATATGTGTAACACATGGTATGTGCTCAGTAAATTCCAGTTCCTTTAACTCTACATTCTACATTTTAGAGAGAATGTACTTACCTGCTTCATCTGTTGCTTCATAGGTGGTATGAGGCTTGGGTTGAAATATTCCTCAAGGGTACTTCTAGGAAGGATATGGGTGAATATCCTATGAAATAACAAAAATTGATCTCTCTCTTTCTCAGATCACATGGTAAGACCAAGAGAGCCTCTGTCTGAACTTGGCTGTATTTCAAAAAATGCTTGCAATGTTCATTTCTGGGACAAGTCTATTAGTATACCTAGTCTTTAACACAGCCCAGTCCAGTACCTTGAAGATGGCAATATGGGGTGGAATGTACTAGGTCATATGTCTGGCTCATTTACAGGACTCTTGAGAGTAAAAGTACTTGTCCGAGAACATGACAGTACCAGGTCCATATTCTAGGTAATTATTTACATGACTCACAACTCTTTGAAGCAGGAATCCTCTCTTATTCATTATCTTCTTTAAGTATCTACCATATTGCTTTGCACATTGAAGGCACTCATTAAATTGGCTTGACTCAGTATCCTAGAACATGAAACTGAAGGGAAAAAAATGGAATTTAACATTGCTAGTGAGCAAGAGCCAGGTTTGACTAAAAGAATCAGGAAGAAACCAGAGGTAGTCAGAATCTTTTCTATGTATCAGATTTTGCTGACATAACTTTTATTTTGTGGACCTTTACCATCTATTAGAAAGTTGTCACTGCACTCAAGCAGACTATCTTAGGAATAACTGTAGCATAACTGGCTTAGGAATAGCCAGTAGCATAACTGGCTAGAACAGTGGCTGAAATAGTTTTGTTCCTGAAGCCATGCCTAGTTACCAGCAAATGATAAGACCTTTTCCCCCTACTGTAGGATGGGTTAAAACAGTAAGACACCAGCCATTTTGAACTGCCATGGGGCTAGGTGCTTGGTTCAAATCCCCTCTGCCCTGGATAGGTTCTATTACTTAAGAAAATTTAAGTTCTCAGTCAATCATTACCTCCTCTGTGTTTTGTCCTTGAAGCTTATGGAGTATGTGTTACTATAATTCATTAGTTAAAATACCCCTTTCCCTTGGGCCGCCTGGGTGGCTCAGTTGGTTAAGGAGCCAACTCTTGATTTTGGCTCAGGTCATGACCTCAGGGTTTGTGAGATAGAGCCCCACATTTCACTGTCAGTGCAGAGCCTGCTTGGAATTCTTTCTCTCTCTCTCTTTCACTCTCTCTCTCTCTCTCCCTGTACCTCTCTCCTGCTTGCATTCTCCCTCTCTCTCTCAAAAAATAAAAATTTCCCTTTCCCTTAAAACTTAGTTTTGCTACTTTCAGGCTCACTATTAAGTTTTTTTCCCTGAGAGCTAACATGAGATTGTTCTAGATTGGAGGAGACAGAAGTAGAAAGAGTGACTTAATCCTAGAATTCACTGGGGTGTGAGTAAACTGCTAATGGGGTTGTCTCCTCCACTAGATTTTAACATCTAAAGGCAGGGTCACTCATTTGTGTATCCCTACTGCCTAGTGGGGTTCCATGGTGGCTATTCAATAAATGCTTACTTATTAATAAATAAGTGAAATATAATCAACATTGCAAAAAGTTATGGTGTGAAATTGGTATACTGGTAATATGCACTAGAGAAGTGCAGAAGAAGAAATCATGGTGGGCCAAGATGGTCAAGGAAGGAGGAGAAAAGTTCCATGGAAGAATTTGACTCTCTGTATAGAGGTGGATGAAATATGATAAAAATATGGGTTTTCAAATCTCTCAAACTCTGTGAGCCTCAATTTTCCCTCTATCCAAACATTTACATTTAAAAGATAGGGACAATAAATCTACATCAGACATAAAGAGTAAATGAGAGAGGTATATAAAGTAATTAGCACAGAGCATGATGCACACAAAAGAATTATCTTCCCTCTGTAAGTTATCTTCCTTTTACTAACCTGTATAGTCTTTCCATTGGATTTGAAGGCTGTCCTGACAGTGTTCTGGAGTTCACAGTATCATTTCTTTCACCAACCAAGGTACTTTCTAGACACCAGAGGAATATGGAAAGGTATTCCAGGGAGGCTTTGTTCTCTCTCTAAGGAAATGAGATAAATAAACAGTCTAAATACTTTCTATCTTCTATCCTTGAGTGCATATGATTATGAGAGACCTTTGCTAAGCAATGCATCTCCAATTTTATTTCCACTTCCACATCACAGAACTTTATTATCAAAAGATTTCTTTGAGATAATTTAGAATATATATTTCCTTTTACATTTTTAAAGAAAAAACTTTAACCCAAAGCATTAACAGATCTGCTCTGCTAGTTAGTGGCAGAACTGTGAACTATACTTGGATAGTTTTTATGTGGACATGTGTTTTCATTTCTCTTGAGTAGAATTGCTGGTTCAGATTAGAACTATATTTAACATTTTGAGAAGCTGCCAAACTGTTTTTCCAAAGTAGCTGCACCCCTATCTCTTTGTTTCTGGGAGCCTGGTTTCGCAAGGAAATTATGGTTCATTAACCAGTACTTTGTTTTTTTTTTTATTTTTTTTAATGTTTTATTTATTTCTAGGAGAGAGAGAGAGAGAGACAGCGTGAGCAGGGGAGGGTCAGAGAGAGAGGGAGTCACAGACTGAAACAGGCTCCAGGCTCTGAGCTGGCAGTCAGCACAGAGCCCAACGTGGGGCTCGAACCCACGAACCGTGAGATCATGACCTAAGCGAAAGTCGGACGCTTAACCGACTAAGCCACCCAGGCGCCCCATTAACCAGTACTTTGGAAAGGAAATAGATACTGGAGAGAAACTAGATCTCCACGCATGCGTTAAATTGGCCATTCATGTGGTTCAAATTCATACTATCTATGTAGTTCAGAAATGTTGAACTGAGTAATTAACATAAAAGTGGGTTTAGAACTGGTGAGATCCAGAGATGTTCATAGACTGGGTGAACCTAAAAGTCTATACCTAGACAAACTATAATTTAGAATAGCAGCAAAATAAATGTATTGAAAGACCTACAGAGACTTAGAACATTTACCATCAAAACACTCTTGCTGCAAGAACTATTAAGGAATGTACTCAAGCCAGAATAAAAGTGAACCAAGAAAGAAATATGGGAGTGCAAGACGCAATGGTGAAAAAAATTTGTTACACATGTTGATACACCATGCTGGCTTATGAGACTAGCATACACTTTAAGCTAAAAAACAAAGGCAGTAAGAGAAGAAAAAAATTGTAGGATAATCTTATCCATAAACATAGTTGCAAAATTCCAAATAAAATACAAACAAATCAAATTCTATTTCATGTTCAAGAAGGATATTACCACAGGAATGGTTTATATTAAAAACTTTATTAATGTAATTCAAAACTGCATGGTCATCTCAGTATGTATCCAAAAAAATTAAATAGAATTCAACCCCCATTCATGATTTTGCTCTCATCCTTTACTTATCTTTATACTACCTTTTCCCATTCCCCTCCACAGAGGAAACCCCGTACCCAAAATCTAAGGCAGGGATCCATCTAGAGAATATGGATTCATGTTTTTTGCAAAAGAGAAGGAGGAGTTATTAGGATATATCCCCTACTATTTCCAACTCTGATTAAAGTCTTCAGCAGAGTCTTCAGAATATCATACATGACATTTTGAATATAAGTAATTATGCCCCACATCACAAACTTGCCTTGCTGTCTTCAAGTACCCTGACAACCTAATTTGCAGCAGACAACTTTGCCTCTGACTTTTAAGACCAAAACAGAACTCCCTATTAGTAAACTCCCCCCAGTTCTTTCTTTTTTAAAAAAAATGTTTTTAATCTTTATTTTTGAGAGACAGAGAGACAAAGTGTAAGCAGGGGAGGGGCAGAGAGAGGGAGATACAGAATCCAAAGCAGGTTCCAGGTTCTAAGCTGTTAGCACAGAGCCCGAGGCGGGACTCAAACTCATGAAATGCAAGTTCATGACCTGAGCTAAAGACAGCCGCTTAAGCGACTGAGCCACCCACGTGCCCCTCTCTTTCTAGGTCTTCTACTTCTTTCTTTCAACCTCACTAAGAGTCCCCTCTCCCTGTTCAAGGCCTATTCTTTCACTACACCTCTTGGTCACTCCTTGCCCCCATCCTTTCTCTCTCTTCTATTCTTACCTTCTTTCTGGATATAGGACATTTTGGCTAAGTGCTTCAGTCTTCTCTTTTCTACTGTTCTTTTCTTCCTTTTGGTACCACTCCCCTTTCAAGTTCCACTCCATTTTCCCTTTCCAGCCCAATTCATTTCCTTAATTGCCTTTCCTTTGCACATCCCACTCTTTCTTCAACCCTTTATAATGTGTTTCTCATCCCTCCCTAACCACTCTTTCGAAAATGCTCCCCATAAGATCACCCTCAATCTCTGAGTTGGAAAACCTGTGGCTCCTTTGTACCCATTTTCCTTGGCATCTTTGCAACATGTGGCCCTGCTGACTTCTCCCCTCCCAAAACACTATTCTGCTTTGGTTTCTATGACATCACCCTTTTCCTCATTCTGTTTCTCTGGTGGCTCTCTTCAGACCCACTTGATAGACAGCATCATCATCTGCCAGCCTCCTAAATGTTAGCATTGCCAGAAGTCCCAGAGCACCTAAACTTGTAAGATTTTTGTGAAGGTTAAATGAGATACTGCATATAAAGTACTTTGGCACATAGTAAAAATCACTCAATATATGGTTAGGATGTTGATGATGACAGTGATAACAACTTCACTATTTTCCCCCAGTTTCATACACTGTTTTTGAGTGATCTCACCCATTCTCAGGGCTTCACTGCCCACTCACAAATTGATGATTCTTAAGTCAGTATCTCCAGAGTTTGAGACTTTTTACAAAACACATATTTTCTCCTGCCTATCAGGTATTTCCTGACTATTACTAGGTAAAATTGTGTACCCTTATAGTAGCCTTTATATGGCTATTAATACTATAATTTTGTGTTAACATCTTGGCCTTTCCCACTACCACTGGGTCTTCATATGCAGCACATTCCCATCAGAGAGCAAACCCTTCTCCCTCAAGATCAGAATCAAGTGGTACTTTGATAATTGGCCCTTGAAAATGACAGTATATCTTCATAAGTGCATATGCCTTTCCTGATCTCACTTCAGAATCACTACTTGACTGGGAGCTCACTAATGTCATGGATTATTTTATTAATCTCTGCATCTCTAGCACCTGGCATGGTGACTAATATATAGTGGGTACTTACTGAATGTTCCTGAATAAATTAATGAGTGAAATTAGGACTAGTTTATGTGTGTTCCCAAACCCTCTGTGTGCAGGAAATTAAAGCTAGACTTGGAATTTTTTTTAAAAATTAATGAAATAACCCTTTTTATGAATCTGATTAGCTTAAATGCAATTTAGTGAAACCATATTGCTACTTGGCTTAATACAGTTTGTCTTAAACATTAACTTTGTTAATTTATAAAACCCTAATCTATGCCTTCTTCCACATGTTCCAACATGTTCCAGATGTTGCATAACACCATTAGCAGTGAATGGGTCAGTAGCTTCTGCATTTAGGCCATAGTACCTATGAAGAAGTCTCTGAATATGTGTAAAAATAGTCCTAATTGTTTGTAGGTGTATATATACACTCTGAGTGATTTTCTTCTCTGGCACTTATCAAAAGAGCACTTGTCTTTCTTGTGGAAATCAGTCACGTTAGATGCTCATTCATAAAAGAAATTGCCGTGTACTTAAGACATCCAGAAAACACAGCCATTCATAGGCATGTTAGTGATATTGGTGCTCAATAACCTAATAGCCTTCCTTCTAAACACAGTCATCAATTAAAATCTTCTGTGAATCTCAATGAGCTAAAAAATTAAATGAAGTCAAAGACAAATGAATCAACAACCAGCAACATACTGTAGTCAAAAGATAATTTTCTGGCTTCTGAAAATAAAGATAGTTTCCATTCAGTCTCAATATAGAGGTACGTAATAACAGATTTTTCCAAGTATTGTGATGTTATTAAATAAAAAATAATTTTAAATGATAATTTCATTCATTGGAAAATATGTACTGAGCTATGTAGCAGGCACTATAGAGAGGAAAGATAGCTTATAGACTGGAGGGGACCACAGATTAATAAACCAAATACAGGAAAGAAATTCCCAGGCAGAGGCAACAGCCCATGCAAAGGCACAGAGGCTGGAGACAGAACAAATGTTTCCATAAATAGGTCCATGTGGCTAGAAGATGGGAGCAAATGTAGTTTGGGGAGATGTTGAAGTTGGAAAGAGAAAAAAGGGTCAGATATGCTGTGCTAAGGGGCCCTTATTTTCCCTCTACTACGAAATTTGGATTTTATTCAAGGAACAGTGAAGAACTCTCTGATCGTGGTGAAAGGAGAAGATTAGTATGGAAGGAAATTAGAGGTAGGAAGATTAGTTGGAGGTTATAGTAAAAGTCCAACTAAGACATTAAGAAGGTCCAATCTAAAGCAGTGGGGATGAAGAGTATGGGTTAACATTTTCTCTTTTATCACTAACGTTAAGCAAATTTATTAGCATGCACCTTGGTATAGTTTTCTTCAATTTCCTGTGTTTAGGGAAACATTCAAACATTCATTGAAACCTCTTGGTTCTGCGGCTTTATAGTTTTCATCAAATTAGAAAATTTTTCAGTCAATATATCTTCAGATATTTTTTCTGTACCTCCTTTCCTTTGGGGACCTCAATTATACACATATTAGATCACCTGAAGTTGTCCTACAGCTCACTGATGTTCTTTTTTACTTTTAAGCCTTTTTTCTCTATGTGTTTCATTTTATATTGTTTCTACTGCTTTATCTTCAAGTTCTTTAATCTTTTCTTCTATACTATCTAATTTGATATTAATCCCATCCAATATATTTTTCATATCCAATATTATATTTTTCATCTCTGAAAGTTAGGATCAGGCCTTTTAAAATATCTTCTATATCTCTACTTAACATTTTCATTCTTTCCTCTAGCTTCTTGAACATTTGGAATACAGCTATAACAACTGTTTTAGTGTCTTTCTACTAATTCTATCTCCTATGCAGTTCCTGATCTGTTTATATTGATTGC